GGATGGTGATTAGAGAGTAGATAGCAGGGGACAGGTGGGGTGATGCTTAGAGAACAGATTGGGAGCGTATGGTCGTAGATAGGAGGGGATAGGTGGGATGGTGATTAGAGAACACAGACTGGGAGAGTATGGTAGGAAATAGCAGGGGGTTGATGATTAGAGAACACAGACTAGGAGAGTACGGTAGTAGAGAGCAGGGATGTTGTTGGAAGGAGAGCATAAGAGATGACAAAGGTGATAAGGGTGTGATGGCTGCCAGTCCCACCAAGTTTTACTGGATTGTATAACTTCATGTTGCCCAGCAGTGTGTAGAATTCATATGCTGCAGGAGGGACTTCAGTAGACTAATCAAGGAATTATACAAAATGAGCTACTTTAATTTGTTAATTGATTTCATTCCTGCATCCTTTAAAATCTACTTCACAGCAAGGAGCACTTGTTTTCATCAGCGTGTAGATAGATGCCCAAGAAAATCTGGTGGATTTGCAATCCTGGGTTAGGGGTAACTGCATGTAGAAGGATGGGTAGACTGAGAAAGAGTATGAATATCATACTGTGTTGTTGGAAACTGAGGTAATATACTGCACGTGATGTGTCGCAGGTGGTGGGAGAATAACAGTGTTAAGGTTTAACACTAATTTGCGCTGAATGATTGCATGCTTTGCTGCAGGGCAAAGAGCTTCCTTATTAGTCAAATTATGTTAATGGTATTTGAGAAAGTTGAGGAATGGTATGCATTTATAAAGTTATGTGAGTTGTGTCTGCAGAGGTTGCACAGTGATCAGTAACTATTTTTTTTTTGTAAGGGAATCTCTCTATATGTTGGATGGCTGTCACAAATTTATAATCTTGCAATTAAAGATGTCCAAGCCTATTGCATGATGTTGCTTCTGTTGAACTTGGGTTTTGTTTTATACACATAAATTGGTGTATCTACTGCCAAATGTGTCACTATTTAAAGAAACAATAAACCCTGCTTCGTGTGATTCTGTTCTACTTGAAAGCATTAATTGGAAATGCAGATAGTTGGTCTGTGCTTAGTGCATCACAAGACAATTCAGGTACAGATAGTTACATTGCTTACAATTTGTATTTGCTTTAGAGCCAGGAGGCTTCCTGTTTCTGCGGGATTTACGATTAGGATTTGGTTTTCTGAAATTCTCAGTGTGGTTGAGCTCAGGTGTCTAACCCTAACCCTAACCCTAACCCTAACCCTAACCCTAACCCTAACCCTAACCCTAACCCTAACCCTAAACAAGGAACTATATTTTAAATGTATTATTTTTGTATTTATCAGCTAAACTTTCTGCTACAGGAATGGAGTTGTTGTGGCTTGGATACCAGTTCTGCTTTTATAATTAATATTTGACATGACATAGTATTATGTATGGTTTTTGGCCTTAGATGAGATAATATAGTAAAATGTGATACCATTGATAACAAAGATTGATTAGTAATTTAATTTCTATAATTGTGCTTTGATTTTTCAATTTCCAGTTAGATACTCAATGTTTTTGTTCAACATGTGACTTCATAGAGTAAAGCTATATCAACCAAGGGTTCCTTTTTATACGTCTCTTCTACAATGCGGTTTCACAATTTAAATTCTGGTACCTGGCAAAAAAAATAATTTAGTGCAGCTATACTCCACTTCTTCTGCAGTGTAAGCTTGTTTTATTGGGGGTTCTCTTCCAAACTGTTTGCGGTCATTTTTTTGACTGATGCAATATAAAGAAATGTCATTGATATAAAGAGATATGTGGTCATCTCTTTGCATAGGTTAATGTCAGGGAAAGCGTTCTGCATGACAAATCTCTCCAATGCTTTTAGCAGATTCTACATATTGTAAAATGCTTTTATGCAGGCATTAAATGGTTAGAAGTTGAATACAGTTCTTGCCTATGTCACTGTCATTGCTTTTGTCTCCTTTTTGATGTCAGAATTTAATTAGCTACAAATCTACCTATGAAAGAAACATAGAATGTGACGGCAGATAAGAACCATTCGGCCCATCTAGTCTGCCCAAACGATATATATTATGGAGCTGATCTTTAGTAGGAGCCTATAAGGAGAATCAAACAATGTGTGACAGGAGAGATTTTGTATGATTGGGGAAATGATCTGTCAAAGTGCAATGTTTTTTCATTTGTTTCAAAATTCACAATGCTTGTCAGTTATAATGATTGACTTCTACCGTGTGTGTGTATGTATGTATGTATGTGTGTATATATATATATATATATATATATATATATATATATACATTGTACAGCGCTACGGAATTTGTTGGCGCTATATAAATAATAAAATATATATAATTTTTTTTTTCAATATTTGGTTAATCACTTCACCCTGATGTGCGGTTATTGAGGATTTAAAAGACCACTATAGGCACCCAAACCACTTCAGCTCAATAAAGTGGTCTGGGTGCCAGGTCCATCTAGGCTTAACACTTTTTTCTATAAACATAGCAGTTTCAGAGAAGAGGGAGGAGAGTTCCCCAGCTGCGAGTGAGCCTGGCGCTGGAGAAAGGTAAGGGTTTAACCCCTCCACCCCGGCAGGAGGGGTCCATGAGGGTGGGGGGGACCTAAAGACCCGATAGTGCCAGGAAAACGAGGCTGACAGCTCAGGCCGGAGGAGGCGGTCCCTTCGCTTGCCGCCGCTGCTGACTGACTGTTTTCCTGGCACTGGAGTTTCCCTTTAACTCTGCAGCTGTAAACATAGCAGTTTCAGAGAAACTTCTATGTTTACACTAGGGTTAATCCAGCCTCTAGTGGCTGTCTCATTGACAGCCGCTAGAGGCGCTTCCGCGGTTCTCACTGTGAAAATCACAGTGAGAAGACACTGCCGTCCATAGGAAAGCATTAAAAAATACTTTCCTATGGACTGATTGAATGCACGCGGCTCTTGCCGCGCATGCTCATTTAGCGCTAATGTCGGAAGAGGGAGGAGAAAGGTACGTGGGGTGGGGGGGACCCAAAGACCCTATAGTGCCAGGAAAACGAGTTTGTTTTCCTGGCATTATAGTGGTCCTTTAAGGTGACAGTAGGGATAAACTATTACTTACCCTGGCGGTCTGCCGATCAGCAGCGGCGGCAAGCAAAGGGACTGTCTCCTCCGGCCTGGTCTGTCAGCCTCGAACGTCGGCCGCTGTGGGTCCGCCCCTTTTTATGACGTGGTGCATGCGTGCCGATGCCTGGCTAGAGTCACAGGGTCACAGTTTTTCGGACAAAAAAATTACTTAGTATAAGTACTGGGCATCGATCGATATTGATTTTTTTTTTAGAGCAGATACCGATAATCTGTGAACTTTCAGGCCGATAGCTGATAACTTACCTATATTCTGTACATTTACCATTTTGAAAAAAAATAAACAGTTTCTAAAGGTAAATGCACAAAATATACATGCCAGATGTAGTGGATGCAGTGTGTTTAGACAGGGGAGCTGTGTGTGTAGAGGATGCAGTGTGTGTATATGTGTAGTTTGTATATAATGAATGCAGTGTGTGTATGTGTAGTATGTATATAATGAATACAGTGTGTGTTTGTGTAGTGTGTGTATAGTGAATGCGCAGTTTGTGTAGTGTGTGTGTGTATGGTGAATGCGCAGTGTGTGTTTGTGTAGTGTGTGTATGGTGAATGCGCAGTGTGTGTTTGTGTAGTGTGTGTGGTGAATGCGCAGTGTGTTTGTGTAGTGTGTGTGTGGTGAATGCGCAGTGTGTGTTTGTGTAGTGTGTGTGTGGTGAATGCGCAGTGTGTGTTTGTGTAGTGTGTGTGTGGTGAATGCGCAGTTTGTGTAGTGTGTGTGTGGTGAATGCGCAGTGTGTGTTTGTGTAGTGTGTGTATGTGGTGAATGCGCAGTGTGCTTGTTGTGTAGTGTGTGTGTGTATGGTGAATGCGCAGTGTGTGTTTGTGTAGTGTGTGTGTGTGTGGTGAATGCGCAGTGTGTGTTTGTGTAGTGTGTGTGGTGAATGTGTAGTGTGTGTGGTGAATGCGCAGTGTGTGTGTGGTGAATGCGCAGTGTGTGTTTGTGTAGTGAATCTTGGTGTGTGTGTGGTGGTCTTGGTGTGTGTTTTGTGGTGAATGTAGGTGTGTGTTTGTGTGGTGTGTGTATGGGCCAAGTGTGGTGTGTGTTTGTGTAGTGTGTGTATGGTAAATGTGTAGTGTGTGTGTGTGTATGGTGAATGTGCAGTGTGTGTAGTGTGTGTGTGTATGGTGAATGTGCAGTGTGTGTAGTGTGTGTGTGTATGGTGAATGTGCAGTGTGTGTAGTGTGTGTGTGTATGGTGAATGTGCAGTGTGTATGGTGAATGTGCAGTGTGTGTATGGTGAATGTGCAGTGTGTGTATGGTGAATGTGCAGTGTGTGTAGTGTGTGTGTGTGCGTGGTGAATGCGCAGTGTATGTTTTTGTAGTGTGTGTGTGTGTGTGGTGAATGCGCAGTGTGTGTGTATGGTGAATGCGCAGTGTGTGTTTTTGTAGTGTGTGTGTGTGTGTGTGTGTGGTGAATGCGCAGTGATTTTTTTAAAGCAGATACCGATAATCTGTGAACTTTCAGGTCGATAGCTGATAATTTACCGATATTCTGTACATTTACCATTTTGAAAAAAAATAAACAGTTTCTAAAGATAAATGCACAAAATATACATGCCAGATGTAGTGGATGCAGTGTGTTTAGACAGGGGAGCTGTGTGTGTATATGTGTAGTTTGTATATAATGAATGCAGTGTGTATATGTGTAGTATGTATATAATGAATGCAGTGTGTGTTTATGTAGTGTGTGTATAGTGAATGCGCAGTGTGTGTTTGTGTAGTGTGTGTATGGTGAATGCGCAGTGTGTGTATGGTGAATGCGCAGTGTGTGTATGGTGAATGCGCAGTGTGTGTTTG